CATGCCATTCCTTGTCACTAGTCCCAGTCGCAACGCTGTGTTGATGGGACATCCTGCACAGCCCTGCCTGGGCCTGCAGGGTCTTCTCTCTGGAGTCTGGCTGCTTTAGTGGTCGTATGTTCAGCTGGGGCTTTACTTTGGGAGCACTTCTCTCTGGGGCTGCTTTGCCAGGTGGTTATACTTCCTGATTTAAAGATGAGGGAGAGGAGTTGGTTGGTTGTTTAATGAGTTGGTGCTTTGCCCTAAATTGTCACCTAGTGGTTTCTTCCCTTGTTACCTTTCTTCAGAAACTGCTAAAATGTTGATGCTTTATCTCCTTCTTTCACTGTATTGAGTTGTATTTGGTAAGTTCCATATTCCTTGTGCAGCACATTTTCCATGAGGATTTTTTTTAAATATTAATTTTATTTATTTGAAAGGCAAAGTTACACAGAAGCTGAGAGAGAGAAAGAGAAAGAGAGAGAGAGAGAGAAAGTCTTCCATCCGCTGGTTCACCCCTCAAATGGCTGCAGCGACCAGAGCTGGGCTGGTCCGATATGGAGCCAGGAGCCAGGAGCTTCCTCCAGGTCTCTCACGCATGTGCAGGGGCCCAAGGACTTGGGCCATCTTCTACTGCTTTCCCAGGCCACAGCAGAGAGCTGGGTCAGAAATGAAGCAGCTAAGACTTGACCTGGCGCCCATATGGGATGCCGGCACTGCAGGCGGTGGCTTTACCCGCTATGCTACAGCGCCAGCCCCTGCCAAGAAGTTTTAAAATATTTCTCCTAAAGGACAGAAGTCACTGAGATGAGTTAGCACCAAGTTATTACCTCTTCGTCACCTGCTGTACTTTGAATCTATGCCATGTCATCTTGGGGACTCAGGCCATGAGGACCCCTGGAAAATAGTGTATCTTTGTACCCTGGTGATTTGTCCATAATAAAGTAATTAGAAAGCCACAAAATAACTTTTGAGCATCTTGCAAGTCAGAGATGGCCAAATGTATCAGCTAACTGCATTTGGATCCAGGTCCTTTTCAGTATCTGGGATGTTTGCTGATAGATGTGCCTTGTTCTCTATCCCTCCTGTTTACCTCCTGCTTCTGTAGAACTCCCTCTGACCCTGAAGGGAACAGGGACCTGGGCAGGCATGTGGGACCCCTCACTGGTGACTCATTTCCATTCTGGCGTCTGGGTCTTTCTGCTCATAGGACTCTCCTTTGTCTCCTCTGTGTAGAAATTTCTTAAGGTCATTTTATTTTCTCCTGGAAATACATAATGAGGGGACTAATAGCTTCTGTTGCTTTTAGTCTGCGTATGTGGAGAAGGTGAAATCATGGTTTGTTTTGATTCCCTCAGGACTGGGTAAATGTGCTGAAAGAGCAATTACTCAAGAAATGGAAAATGTGGATTTCCTACTGAGTTTCCATGCTATTTGCTTTTGCCACATTAGTGTATACAGTGTGTGTGCAAACTACTTGTTAAAATCCTGGGTTTTAAGGGAATGTGTTATTCAGATACTGAACAATAAATACATCTCGAAGAGCTCATAATGAAATAAATTTGGATATAGAAACTAGTAGAATTACAAGAAAGTAAAAGTTTAACATTTAGGGTAAGAAAGGATTATGGTATTGATAAAAGAAGTCACCTCTCACTTGTCTAATAGATTTACAAATTAACTGGGTTAGAAAATTAATTTTGAGAAAAAAGTTTAAATTATCATAAATTCAAAGAATTGGTTCCATTTTATAAGGCATGCATTTTTTTGTTAACGGCGCTGTGTGGAAGCTGTCTCATTGTGTCTATTTGAGTATGGCACTCTCTTATTCCTCTTTCTAATAAAGGATATGGTCATCCCAAGCAGTGGACTAACCCTTGCTATAACAACCTGCCCTCATTTATACTTTTAATTATTGAGAAATGAATGCATAGAAGGAAGTCTTTAAAACTTTAAAAAGTTTATGGAAAATATATATTATTAAAAAACTGTATGGATTTCAAAACTTTTTCCACCAAAACAGATTTATCTTTTAATTACACTTTTCCATAAACTTTTTGAAGGTACCCTTAGATGTTACTGGCTTACAGTCAAGAAGTGGAAAATTGCCAGAATTGCCAGAAAATGGCTCTCAAGCCGGTTCTGGTCTCTGCTGCTCCTCTTCCCATCCAGCTCTCTGCTGTGGTCTGGAAGAGTGGCGGAGGATGGCTCGGGTCCTTGGGCTCCTGCACCCCTGTGGGAGACTAGAGGAGGCTCCTGGCTCCTGGCTTCAGATTGGCACAGCTCTGGCCGTTACGGCCGTTTGGGGATGAATCAGCGGATGGAGAACCTCTCTCTCTGTCTGTCTCACTGTCTGTAACTCTGCCTTTCAAATAAATAAATAAAATCTTAAAAAAAAATAAACTTTCTTTGAAGGATAGTTTGTAATTCAAGAATTTTTCTATTTAGAGAGAGGTGAGAGGTGATGTTGAAATATCTCACCATGACCGGAATTGATTTTTTTTTTTGCCTTACAATTAATGTCATTTTCATGTTATATGTTCTCATTTTATCATCATGAAATGACCTTCTTTACCTCTGATTTTTTTTTTTTTTTTTTTTTTTTTTTTTTTTTTTTTTTTTTTTTACTGCAAAGTCTGTTTCATGAAGTTTATTTGATTCCTTTGGTTCATTTTGCATGGTATTATTTTTCCTGTTCTTCGTTTGGCCTCTCTATAACCCTGTATCTGTATGTTTTAGATGTGTCGTTTGTAACAGCTATAGTCTTTTTTAGAATTCAAAAGTGCTAATCTTTGTTTCTTTGCTTGAAGATTCAATCCCTTATTTTAATCCATTAATTTATAATGTAATTTCTAGTATATTTGATTTTAAATCTATCTGTGCTTTTTATTTATCTTGTTGATTTCTTGTGTTCCTCTTTTTCCTTCAATATTGCCCTTTTGAGAGTCTTTTTCTTTACTACAAATTTTTCTGCTCTGATTAAATTATATACCCTTTTTAGTATTCTATTAATGGATATCCTAGAAATTACAACAAAATAATAGCAAATTGTTTCAGTTTTAGTATATCATAAAGGCTTTATTTCACCTTTATTTTTGAAGGATATTTTAACTGGGTATAGAATCCTAGGCGAGGTTAGTCCCTTTCCTATTTCATTGCATTGAGGGCAGTTGCTCTTGCTCTTGCTCTCTGTTGCTCTCTGTCTCTTCTCTGTCACTCTTCCTTTCAAATAAATAAATCTTAAAAGGAAATATAAAAGCTCTTATGACTTTTTAACCACCTCTTCCTGATCAGCATATGAGTTCCTAGGCCTTTGCAATCCTGTGTGCCAGGATCTTTCTCTGATAATTCCACCCTATCTATCCGATTCTTTGAGGCTTTTTGGATTATGGTTTTTACATTTTTGCAGCTTTATGGAGTAACTTTTAGCAGGAAGATTGGTATCACTTATATACTTACCGTTTTTTGAAGTAGAACAGAAATTGGATGAAATTTTAACTGCCCCACCAGGTATTTACCACATTTTAAGAAGGGAGAGACCAAGAGTTTGAAAGAAGGCTGGCTGCTAAAAATCAGAGAAGCTAGCAAAAAAATAAATCCCAGCTGCTTTACTTCCAGTTCAGCTCCCTGCTAATGTGACTGGGAAAGCAATGGATAATGGCCGAAGTCCTTGGACCCCTGCCACCCACATGGGAGACCTGGATGGAGCACCTGGCTTCTGGCTTTAACCTAGCCCAGTCCTGGCTATTTCAGCCATTTGGGGATTGAACCAACAATGGAAGAGCTCTTCTTTCACTATGAACTCTGCCTTTAAAATAAATAAATCTTTAAAAAAAGTATAAAATCTTGATAATTGTTTGAACTAGTTAATGAGCTATCTAAGGGTTCATTTGGTGGCTTTATTATTATTTGTGCATTTAAAAATATTCATTAATTATAGAAATACGAGAAAGAAACATCATTAGCAAAATTTCAGTTGAACACATAGCCTGTGTGTAAATGAGACCAGAATAAGCTATTGTTCCCATTTGGTGGAAGTCTGCTGTTTTTGAGTGGTGTCAGACGAATAGGCATAAACTTCCATTTATCTCTGTAGCCTATTGCCTAGTAATCTGTTAGATGTCTGCTACTCCCCAGCTTCTAAGGATGAACGCCTTGATTCACAGTCTCAGCAAGACCTAGAAAAGAGAAGGGTAGTTCTTCAAATACGAGGTGCGAGTGATAATCTCAAAAGAACAGGAAAGGAATGCTGGGTAGGCAAGCCCACAGCTAGCCACTATTTTTCACTTGCTGGCTTCCCACGACATTGAAACCTGCCGCTTTCCATAGAGTTTTAAAAACATTTCCGATGAACATAATTTATCCCTCTTTTCCTCCAGAAGGAGAGGTAGTTCAAAGTAATGCCCTGTTAATGCATCTACCTTCATTTCCAGGAGTTCTGGATAATGTCAGTTCCTCTTTCCATTTCCATCTCTGTTATACTCTGTCAATTCTAGACTAAATAGAATATTTATCTACTAATAATATACTAGATAGGAAGAGACAGAAAGAGGAGAGTGTTGGAAGATTGTATGATATAGATGGCGTCCCAGAACCTCACTCATGCATTCTGACCATGCAGGCACAGTTTGCACAGGATGATAGAGGGCTGCTTTGTAGCTTGGAAGATCAGGGCAGTCACTGAGGCCTGCCACGGGCTCTTTCCAGAACACAGTTCTTCCATGCGTGGTTTAGTGTATGTGCTGCTGAGGCGAGCACTGCATGCATGTTGTATTTGTTGGGTGACAGAACTGAGTGACAGAGTGCTTCAGCATGGGCCAGCTGTGCAGTGACTCTTCCCCTCAGCTCTACCTGTAGTTTTTATTGACAGACATGGGTAAAAGCAGATAAATGGTATAAAACCCGTGCAGTATATACTGCTTTCAGGATCTTAGTGATGTAAGTCAAGCATCTTGCCTTTTTTTTTTTTTTTTTTTTTTTTTTTTGGACAAGCAGAGTGGACAGTGAGAGAGAGTCAGAGAGAAAGGTCTTCCTTTGCCGTTGGTTCACCCCCAATGGCCACTGCAGCCAGCGCACCATGCTGATCCGAAGCCTGGAGCCAGGTGCTTCCTCCTGGTCTCCCATGTGGGTGCAGGGCCCAAGTACTTGGGCCATCCTCTACTGCCTTCTTGGGCCACAGCAGAGAGCTGGACTGGAAGAGAAGCAACCAGGACAGAATCTGGCGCCCTGACTGGGACTAGAACCCAGTGTGCCTGTGCCGCAGGCAGAGGATTAGCCTATTGAGCCGCGGTGTGGGCCAAAGCATCTTGTCTCTTAGCAGGTACAAAGTACAGTAATTATCACTCACTTTTTGTTCATTATTAATTCTGAGTAATTAGTATGTGTGGCATTAAATTGAAAAGGTGCCAAAAAGTGTACATTGAAACATAAGTTCCCTTCCTGCACTTATTATCCAGCCATTTAGGTTTTCCCATTGTAAGCAAACCCTGGTACTAGTTTTTGGTGTATTTTCATTTTAAAGGGCCTATCTTGGGAATGGTGCTGTGGTGTAGTAGGTTAAGCCTCTGCCTGTGGCACTGGCATTCCCATATGGGTGCTGGTTTAAGACCTGGCTGCTTCTATTTCCTATCTAGCTCCCTGCTAATGATCTATGAATGTAATGGAAGATGGCCCAGGTCCTTGGGCCCCTGTTACCCATGTGGAAGACCTGGAAGAAGCTCCTGTCTCCTGACTTCAGATCCATCCATCTTGGGTCATTATGGCCATTTGAGGAGTGAACCAGCAGATGGAAGACCTCTCTCTCTCTCTCTATGTGTAACTCTGCCCATCAAATAAATAAATAAATTTTTTAAAAAAGGGGGAGACTATCTTGACTTGGGACAGTTCTTGAGATCACAAGAAACTTTTTGAAGTAGCAATCCTGTACATTCATGGGATTCATATCCCACCATCTGGAGTACATGCAAATATCTGTGTACATGCAAAATATCTGTATACGTGCAAATATAAGTACATGAAAAATATCTGTGTCTTCTTCTTCTCCAGGGTCTTTCAACCTGGTAATCTTCAGTAGACCAGTACAGTGTAATGTACCCATTGTAATCTGCCGTGCCCTGAGTTGCTATTGTGGTGGCAGGTGAATGAGAACTGCTTTCTAATGTCCTTATTTTATACCAATGGAGAAATAGAAGTGTCATTTTATAACTGCATGCTAGGTAGAGTGCTAATAATTTGTTCCAGTAAGGATCTACATCTAAAGTGCAGCTTATTAGTTGGAGTCACTATTTGATATGCTTTCTTTTTGTTTAAAAAATTATTTATTTGAAACACAGAGAAATGGAAAGATTGAAAAAAGAGAGAGATCTTCTATCTGCTGGTATACTACCCAAATGGCCACAGTAGTCTGGGGCAGGCCAAAGCCAGGAACCAGAACTCTGTTCTGTTATCCCACATGGACAACAGGACCAAGTACTTGCACCATCTTATGCTGCCTTCCCAGGCACATTAGCGGGAAAGTGGATCAGAGTCTGGCCAGCCAGCAGTTGAACCTGCGCTCTGAAAAGGGATGTCAGTTTTGCAAGTGGCAGCTTAACCTGGCTGACCCCTTGATATGCTTTTGATAGCCTAATATTGACTCATTGGCCCCTCAGTTGGGGAGATGGGGTTCTCAACATATCACCACAAGTGAAACTTTTTTTTTTTTTTGGTAATTTATGGAATTTGGAGAACAGGTTGGATTGGATTCCATTGGCTTCACTTAGCTCTTCCTCTTGGAGGAGCATAATGAATCAAGGTCCCTGGTTGTAGGACATTCCTCATTGATATGTATTTCCTTCTTGTTCCATGAACTGCTGGTTTCCAACTCCCTAAAATGAACAGAAGTTTTACTACCATTTTCTCAGTTTTGAAATAAGCAGTCTTAAAATCCTTCCTTTCTCCAAAGATCTGTTGCCTATAGTTCACCAGTGGGTACCTATGGCTATAGCAATTAGTATTCTTTGATTTACAACCACAGAAAACAACAGTGGATGATTCAAGTGGGAAGCTGACAGAATCAGAGAGCTGAAAAACCCTACTTTAGAAGGACTTTTGATTTCCAGTTGTACATGTAAAGAACTGGAATCTGCCACTCCATCTTAACAAGTAAAAAACAAACTGGAAAATCATCAACTCTCCTTAGTTTTATAAGAGAAATGAAATCATAGGGCAAACCATTACCCTTGCCTTCGAAAGACAGGTGGATACAGAGAATCCCAGTATTTTGAAGTAGCAACTTTGGTGGGAACTAGAGTGAGAGCAGGCAAGCCTGAATTATAATTGACTGATCACTGGAGGCTTAACATGGTCAAGGGGAACCTGGTCATAGAGAAATCTTCATGCTTTTGTTTTTTCTTCTGAGCTTAACCAGGAACTCACAGTATATAATGGAGAAAAATCCTCTAATGCTTCTGGCAGGGGGAGGGGAAAAGGAACTATTTTGACATATGCCAGAGCACTCTGCTCTTCTTAGAGAGAAACCAGTTAACCACAGCCTCGCCTGCTGGGGTCTTATAGTCAGCCGACCTCAGAGAAGAGAAAAACTGATCTTCAACCTACTTTCCTGTCCCAGCTAAGATGGGGAGCAATTATGAAGTCTGAGAAAAACTTTTGGACTGTACATTCTATATAAAAGATCTGTTTTATAAGAGATCTATTCATGGGACTTTCGAATACTTTAGCTCCCCTTACACCTTACCACTGCATTACAAAAGGCCTATTTATAGCAGTTCCTTTTACCCATTATCATGTCTGGCTCTCAAGAGAAAATTACAAGGCAAACTACAAGGCAAAAAACACAGTTTGGAGAGACAGAGAAAGCATCAGAATCAGACATGGCAGCGATATATCAGACAGGGAATTTAAAACATGCAGGACTAACATGCAGTAGGTTCTAATGGATAGACAGCTTGCAAGAACAGATGCGTTATGCAAGCAGAGAGATCGGAGTCCTAAGAAAGAACCAGTGAGAATGCTGGAGATGAAAAATACTGTAGCAGAAGTGACAAATGTCTTTGATGATCTTACTAGTAGATGGCACACAGCTGAAGAAAAAAAAATTTGTGTTTAAGGATATCTCAATATAAATCTCCAAAACTAAATAGCAAAAAGATCAAAGACTGATAAAAAATTACAGAGGATGGAAAATCTCTTTTCCAGAGGAAAAGAGAGGAGGAAGAGAAGAAATATTTAAACAGTAATGACTAAAAATTTCACAAATTAATGTCAGACACCAAACAGATCCAGGAAGCTAAAAGAACACAAAGCAGGATAAAAATCAAGGAAATTCTACCAAGGCATATAATTTTCAAAATATAGAAAGCTAAAGAAAAAAATCCCAGAAGAAGCCAGAGGGAAAAAGCAATTTACTTATTGAGGAGTAAAGGTAAGAATTACATTCAACATCTCGGAAAATTTATCAGTCTGATTTTCATTTGTATAATGAAATACCTGAGGCAGATACTTAGAAAGAAAAGAGAAGCTCACATTTTTGGAGGCTGAAAGTTCAAATAGTGTGGTGCTGGCATGGACTTAGCTATGGTGAGAACCCTCTTTGGCTGTGTTTTTGTGGTTGGAGGAAGCATCTTATCTCAAAACAGGAAGCCAGAGAGGGCTGGATGAGTCCAGGCTCAGGGTTCTATAACATGTTTCTCATGAGAACAGACCAAGTCCCATGAGAAATGCCTTAATCCAGCGGTGGGGAGCATCCAGCCCACAGGCTGTGTAAGGCCCACAAAATCACTTGGTCTGGCCCTGCCACAGCAACTGCAGACAGGGCTTATACTCCAGTAAATCTATAGCCAGCTCATTTTAAGTAGATCATTTTATATGACCCATGAATGATGTTATAAATACCCGAGTGACCTTTATGGATCAGAAAAAAAGGTTCCCTACACCTGGGTCCCTTCTGAGAGCTGCACCAATAGTTGACCTAAGGACCTCCCATTAGGCCCCACCTTTCAAAGATCCCACCTCCCAGCATCACTGCACTGAGGACCAAGCTCCTAATACATAAACCTTTTGGGGACAAATCACACCCAAAGCATAGCAGAAAATTTGTAAGCAAGGAGAAAGTGGAGTGAAATATTTAAGATGTTAAAGTTTTAGAGAAACACGTACTTTATAAAGACAGGAACAAGGCTAGCTCCAAGGATCTAGGCTAGAAGAGCCTTTGAATAACTTTGTCCACCCTTACTTTAATGTAACTCAAGATTCAGATTTCCAGCATAGCCTGAGTTGGCTCAGTGAATCATTATCCCACCCTGTGGATGATGGTACTGGGTGCTTTGATCAACAGCCACCCCCTTCACTCCCTCCCAGCCTCTGCTCTCCACCTTCACCCCAAGACCTCATAGAATGGAGGAAGAATACTTTCCCAAAAGAGAGGGAACATAGCATAACCAAAAGATAGGAGCAAGAATGCTGAACAGACAAAACCAACCGATGCCCATTCCAAAGTATGCCTTTTTAGATCAATGTATCTCAGTAGGGACATCCCTAGGCTTTGGGGAGACCATTTGTCTAAGTGAGCTGCTGCCAGGGTACATGACAGTGTGTTCAGCATCCCTACTGCTACCATTATGACCAGTGTACCCGTGCTTTGACACTACACACACACACACACACACACACACACACACAGACTGTGAAACAGAACATTGAGGGCCACTGTATTGCATGATCCCTAGAACTGTTTGTATTTAAAACAACCAGATGCATTTCTGTTGCTGAGCTAAAGATTGTTTGCAATGTTGTTAAAATAATGATGCTTGTCTCTTTTATCAAAAAGTTCTTCAGTTTATTGTTCCCAGATATCTAAACTGGTCTGCCACTGGTGCCATATAAAATACATCAGAAATTCATCAGTTTATTTTTTGAGTTTGTTTCTTTGTGTAAAGGCACAGATGTTAGAGCCAGACACCGGATTCAAATCCTACAGTCATAGCTCGGGTGTTACTTATTGTTTCCTTTGGTTTTTACCTAGTCTTACTTTGGGCATTTGGGTAATTTTTCTGTCTCTCTAAAATGGGGAAAATAATAGTATCCACTTTGTGGAATTGCTGTAAAGGATAAATCAGTATTCATAAAGTGTTTAATATGCTGTGAAGAAAATAGTATAAATGTGTATGAGCTGTTACTGTATTTATAAAATAGGATATTAATAAATTTCACACAGGTGACACTTTAAAATTTGTCTTTTTGGGGGGAGAATTACCTTTTAGAAATTGAATTGCTTTATCTGAAGAAGTTTTTTGCTATGGCATTTAGCTTGGAACTATACTTTGAAAAACACCATTGAATAATTCATTCCTTCATTCAATATTTATTGAATGTTTGCCAGGTATGTGCTAAATTCCAGGAAGACAGGGAATTTACATACCAGTGGAGGAAGCAGTAACTAAGTGAACAAATAAATGCCCAGAGTAATGACTGCTATGGTAAACTGTGCAGGAATCACTGGAAAGGCCTGGAAACCAGGGGGTTCAGTGTGTTCCTGAAGCAGAGAGCTTGGGCTGAGCTGGGGGGAGGAAGCAGGAGGTCAGCAGGGGCTAGAACCATGTTTTGCAGGTCCTTAAGGAGTTGTTTTTTTTTTTTTTTTTTGCCTTCTACAGGGAGTTTGGATTTCTTTCCAAGAAAGCTGTTGATGAGTGTCTTTAAGCCAGAGTGTGTGCTGGATCAGATTTGCATTTGCAAAATTTGTTCTGTACCTTGTAGGGAATGGAGAAGGGGAGGTGGGACATGGTAGAATACAAGCAGGATGCACCTTCTAGGAGCTGCTCTAGGAAAGATTGAGCTGTGGTCAGGTGGGGTCAGGAAAATGCATGTGATCAAGTCAGATCACATGTATTTAGTAGGTGGAATTGATGGGTATTGGTGATGGCTTGGAAAAGGAGAATGAGAGGGCAGTCAGGACCAGAGCCTAGGTTTTTGTCTATTTGGTACTATTTGACAGTATAAGTGTGTTCTATGAAATATTTTTCTTTTTTTTTTTTTGACACATTGTCAGAATTGTACATTGTTAAGTACTATTTAAAAAATTTCATCTTCCCGGTCTAGATTTTTTTTTTTTTGCACTGTAGCTAAATTGTACATCTTCTTAAATGGGTCTTTGTTTCCCTGTTTGGTAATGGGAGCCTCCTTTGTTGATATTTTTGACAGTTAATTGGGAGTATTTTATGTGTTCACTATTGCTGCTGAAGATTTATGCTCACTTGATTGACCACTCACAGAGCGGCCTTTTGGAATGAGGTGGCCTGTCTGCTTCTTGCTGCAGGACAGTCTGACAGTCTGCGCCTGTGGAGAAGCAGCCCTTCCTTCCATTCTCTCTAGGCCGTCCTAGGTCAGCCGCAGGGGCCTGAGCTGGGAGGGGCTGCCTCTATTTGTGGCATGTGCTCACTGTGGGCATTCCGTTACTCTTTTTAACATGGACTTCCAGAGGAAGTGAAGCTTAGGAGATTTTATTTTCTTTTACTTACGACTAGTATACCTCCTCAATAATTGGAATTTATTTTATTTTACTAAAATATGACTTCTTTTGTGAATGAATTGAGATCACTCATTTAAAGCAGTCTTTAAATTGATGCATGTGGAATGCATTATTTTACTTTTTTCTAAGAAATGAAAAATTGGGAAGAAAATTCACTAGACAGGAATGCATAGAAACTTTTTACACCTAAATGAGAAGCCAGAAATGCATATAAAACATAAGAACTTCAAAAACATTTCTTAGGCACAGACTAGTATTAAGCACCCATGGATGTTTTTGATTTCCTGTTACATTAAAATACTCAAAGGAACTTCATATTGAGAACATTCATAAATAGCTCAATCTTAAAAAGAAGATATAAAGCATTATCAGCTGTGCTTTTGTACATAATTAACAGATGCCTGTGGAGGTATAATGACCTCTAGTCTAATGATATTATTCATGACAAAAAGTTCAGATGGTAAAAATTGGAACTACAGCTGGGTGACACATTTTCAAATAATTCAAAGATGGCTCCAGTATAGAAGGCACGTTATTTTCATCTCTTCTGATTCCCTGTTTCACCCATCAGTGGGTCACACAGGCACTGAGAAAAGCTCCTTTTTAAAATGCTTCGTTTATTCCCTTTTTTGCAGCTTTGATGTGTGCTCACCTTTTACTCTGTGAAAGGACGTCAGCTTTCTCCCCTTGCTGAGATGGCTAAGCATTCTGTAAGCCTGGCTTCTGATTGTCAGTTTTGGATGCAGAAGCTTTCTGAATGGGACCAGGCCTCCACTTGGGAAACCCAGCAGGATACCTGTCTTCATCTGCCTCGTTTCCAGGAGTTCCTGAGGCAGATGTATGAAGCCTTGAAAGAGATGGTAAGTAGTGAACCATAGGAATGAACTGTCATGTGACATCAGGGACTGTACCAGACCGGCCTAAGCAGAATGTTTTCAGTGTCAGGGACTTAATGCAGTGATGGATTAGCAATACAGATTTTCTGTAGGTACTGCAGATGAGAGCTGGCTTTCTCTTCTTTATTACTTCAGTATTCTCTTCTTTACTACCTATATGGTTACCAGTGGTGCTTGTTGTCCGGTAATAAGTAGTGCTGTTTTTTAAAGTTTTATTTATTTTGTTTATTTATTTGAGGGCAGATAGAGAAAGAGAGAGAGCTTGCATCTGCTGATTCACTCCCCAAATGCTTACAGGGCTGGGCTGGGGCCAAAGCCAAGAATGTTGCTCAAGTCTCTTGCATGGTGGCAGGAACCCAATTATTTGAGCCATTACATGCTGCCTCCCAGGGTTTGTATTAGCAGGAAGCTGGTGTCAGGATTTGGAGCTGGGAATCAAATCCTGGTACTCTGTTGTGGGTTGTGGGCATCCTAGCCACTAGGATAAATGCCTGCCCTGGGACTCTTTTCAAGAACTTTGTGTCCCTCAAATCTTGAAAAGTTTTCTGAAATGCTTACTCTGTCCTCAACCCTTTTCTCAAGTGGGCTTTCCTAAGAAATGATAAATATTAAAATCTCTTCTTACAAATATTTCAAGGAGTCTTCACTGTTAGAAAAATTTATTGTTTTCAAAGCTTAATATATTTTGATAAAATTTTACTTTTATTGTGAAAGATACTTTTGCTACTTAACACGTTTTCATATTATGAACATATTTTATATTTTTAAATTTCAAAATGAAAAGTAAAATTCATTTAACATAAATGTTTATGTATTATGCTTCTTTTCCCTTAATCAAAGAGGCAGTAGGGAATTTGAAGAATAATTCAAGTTGGTAATATGAGTAAAACACGTGAGTATTTTACAAACTAGAAGGAAAGATAAAAGTCTGTGTAAGCACTCAGTGCTAATTTTAAAAACTTTTTTATAGTGAGACTTACGTAATTTGACCTTAAGATGGTCCCAGAAAGTCTTGGGCCAGCCTTGACGCTGAGACAAATGGGAGGCCTTCATTGTTGCAGCAGCAGGAAATGCTTATCGTCTCAGCTTACCTGCACATTATCTCAGTTGGGTTTTAGTTTTGAACTTGCATGAAAGGTAAAGTAATGGGAAAGGGGCCAGTTGTACAACAGCATGTGTATTTTTTAATCTTAAGCTGTTTTCTATTTGGTTGATCTTTGCTTGTCTCAGGGTTTAGGTTATTGTAGATTAAGAATGATGTCATTTAGCATATAGCAATCAAAATAGTAATAAACAGAGATATATATCTTTATGTTTTGGCAGGCTTTATTTCTTTTTACATGTTCCAGAGTTCTTGCCCTTTTAAACTTCTTTGAAATAGCCTTCCTGGGGCTGCGTTAGAGACTTCTCTTTATGTTAGAACAAAAAGCCAACTTTCTCTCTCTGTCTCTCCCTCTCTGTCTCTGTAACTCCACCTTTCAAATAAATATATAATTCTTTAAATAAATAAAAAGGGTGCCAACATTTTGGTGTAGTGGGTAAAGCCATTGCCTGCAGCACTGGCATCCCATATGAGTGCCATTTTTAGTCCTGGCTGATCCACTTCCGATCCAGCTCCCTGCTTATGGCCTGAGAAAGCAGCGGGAGATGTCCCAAGTGCTTGGGCCCCTGCAGCAACGTGGGAGACCTGGAAGAAGCTGCTGGCTCTTGGCTTCTGATCGGTCCAGCTCCGGCCATTGTGGCCATTTAGTGGGTGGACCAGCAGATGGAAGAGCTTCCATTCTCTGTCTGTCTGTCTGTCTGTCTGTCTCTCTCTCTGTAACTCTGCCTTTCAAATAAATAAATCTTTTTTAAAAAACAAGCCAAGATGATGACATGGGCTTACATTATTAAATATTATTTATTTATATTATTAAGTTATCACCAGTAATTTTTATCTTTTACTCTTAGTCCATATTATTTTTAAATAAAATGAAATAAAATTTTGTAACAAAATTGATTTTACCTAGTTATGTCATAAACCATAGTTTCGGTGACCTTGGTTTAAATAAGGTGATTGCTGACTTGATAAACTTTATTTGATTTACTTACCTAAAGATCTTCACTGATCCTGTTTTGCCTAATTTTCTAAAAATATATACTTAACTAGAAGCATTTAGGCTCCCTCAGGCTCAGGCTGTGGTTTAGTCTTTCTGAGTTGTTCCATGCTGTTTTTCTGACTAAAACATAATTTTCTTTTACAGGATTCTAATACAATTATGAAAAGATTCCCCACAATTGATCAACTGTTGACAAAAACTTGCTGGAACCCTTTTATCTTAGCATATGGTAAGAATCCAAAGCATATTCTTTCAAACCATAAACTTTTTTTTTTTTTTTAACGATTGATTTATTTGAAAGGCAGAGTTAGGAAGAGAGAAAGAGAATATTAGAGACAGAGATCTCCAACCACTGTTTGACTCCCCAGATGACCACAATAGCCAGGGCTGAGCCAGGCCGAAGCCAAGAACCAGGAGCCAGGAGCCCTGTCCTGGTCTCCCATATGGGTGGCAGTGTCCCTAGGACTTGGGTCATCTTCCACCAACCTCCCAGGTACCCCAGAAGGGAGCCGGATTGGAAGTGGAGCACCTGGGACTTGAACTGGAACCCACATGGGTTGCTGGCATCACGGGCAGCAGCCTAACCCACTATTTCATAACGTTGGCCCCTCAAAATGCAAACTTCTAAGAGTTTTAATGTTGCATTGTTTAACAAAATTACAGAGGCTTAAGTTATAAACCTTTCTCCTGTTTTTCTTGGACTGCCTTATTTATTGTTTTCATTGTTCAATACAAAGAAGGCGTCCTTTATTGTCGCCCATATATGTGTGTGTATTTGTATATATAGATATGTATATACCTACACACATGCATGCTCACAATCATGCACATATACAGTTCTGTAGAAAATAGAGCTCTTTGTATTGGAGGGCAGAAACTCACCGATTTAAATATCTGTTTTGGTCTGCAGTGACTTTCATAACCACTGTAAAATAGTTATACTAAGATAGTGACTTAATTTCTTTGCTTCACAGTTTCATACTAACTCATAAATTGTTTCTCATGTTGTAAAATCGTTTTTCAGAATCCAAATCCTGCCAAGGCTCTGTTGTTATTTAGAGGTGACGTTTTGGTTTTACTCAAGGCTGAGACAGATTTGGGAAGACTTTAGAGGAGGTGTTCTTTCCTTGCCCTCCTGCCTGTTGGCCAGCCTCACCTCTGTTCTGTTTCATTTTCCACAGCCACAGGGAATGCATGATAGGCGGGTCATTCTCCTGATGCTGCCTGCGGGCACTTGATGTCAGAGGGCCTGTGGTTTGCATCTATTTCTTTGGCCTCTCTCCTCTTTGTTGTCTTAGACCTTTGAAATAGCCTTACTGAGGCTGGGTAGGAACCATTCCAGCAGCTGTCTTTATTATAATACTTATTCTGCTCTCTGACACCTGGGGAACTGACTGTCTCTCAAGAGCAGGAGCTGTGATTTTAGTTCTGTTTGTCTTCCTGGGGCCTAGCATAGGGGGAACAGGCACAACTCAGGCAGTACAGTTGAAGTTTGTTGCTGTAGATTGACTGTCTAATTAGCTGATATTTACTTTTCAGGTTTTTTTAAAAGTCAAAGACTAATTGCATAATATAATGACATTAGAAACAAGAAAATGAATATTTTCCTTTGATGTTTTAAAGAATTTTGTGCAGTTTCCTTTTCCTAGCCTGTCATAAGTCATTATAGGAGATGTGAACTAGGGCAGGCATTTGGCATAGTGGTTAAGATGCTGCTTGGGATGTCCTCATCCCATACTGTAGTGCCTGGTTCAAGTCTTACCTCCAGTCCCAATTCCAGCTTCCTGCCAGTGCATACTCGGAGGCAGCAGGTGATGACTCAAGTACCTGGGTCCCTGCCAATATCCATACTTACACATCAAGACACATACACATGCATACACACAAATGACCAGAGTGCTTGTTTTTATGTGCAATCCATATTCACTATGCTATTTTTGAAAAAGGATTTATTTACTTATTTTAAAGGCAGAGTTACAGAGAGGCAGAGGCAGAGAGAGAAGTCTTTTATCTGCTCATTCGCTCACCAGATGACTGCAGTGGCCAGAACTGAGCTGATCTGAAGCTGCGGGCCCACGAGTTCAGGGCCCCAAGAACTTGGGCCATCTTCTGCTGCTTTCCCAGTCACATTATCAGGGAGCTGGATTGGAAGTGGAGCAGTTGGGACTAGAACCTGTGCCTACATGGGATGCCAGCACTGCTGGTGACAGCTTGACCTGCTGTGCCACTGTGCCAGCCCCATTCACTATGCTATTTTAAAACATGTTTTTCATCACTCAAAACTGATTTCACAGCTCTTCATGTGTCATGACCAAAAGTTTGAAAACATGGAACTAAGCTGATATTGATGGCAAGAGAAAGAAGAAGAAACTATGGGATGCCCCCTACCACTGTTAGATGCTTCATGGGTTTTATAACGGGTTTTTGGAAGTAAAGAAACACTATTCCTTTTTTGTTTGTTTTTGGACAGATAGAGTTAGACAGTGAGAGAGAGAGAGACAGAGAGAAAGGTCTTCTTCCATTGGTTCACTCCCCAAATGGCTACTACGGCTGGAGCTACACCGGTCCAAAGCCAGGAGCCAGGTGCTTCCTCCTGGTCTCCCATGCAGGTGCAGGGTCCCAAGCACTTGGGCCATCCTCCACTGCCTTCCTGGGCCATAGCAGAGAGCTGGACTGGAAGAGGAGCAGCCGGGACAAGAACCCGGCACCCATATGAATGCTGGCGCCGCAGGCGGAGGATTAACCAAGTGAGCCACGGCGCCAGCCCTTCTTAAGGTTTTATAATATCAACATTGCTTTTTAAATACAGTTTAAACCAACAGTTTCCATCATAGAAACTAGAGGGTCACCCAGGGTGTTAACTGAGAACAGGATCAGAAATAATGATAATAAAGAAGGAGAAATGATTTACAGGTGAAAAGACAACCAAAACGAGTAGAGGAAAAATAGGTAGTAACAGGGAGGGAAGATCTCTTATTCTTTAAGATTTGAAAGGCAGAGTTACAGAAAGACAACAGGAAAGAGAGAGAGAGAGAGAGAGAGAGAGAGAGAGAGAATGAGAGAATGAATGAATATCTTCCATCTGCTGGTTCACTTTCCAAATGGCTGCAATGGCCGGAGCTGGGCTGATTTGAAGCCAGGAGCCTGAAGCTTCTTCTGGGTCTCCCACGTGGGTGCAGTGGCCTATGGACTTGGGTCATCTTCTACTGCTTTCCCAGGCCGTAGCAGAGAGCTGGATCGGAAGTGGAGCAGCTGGGACTCCAACTGGTGCCCATATGGGATGCCAGTGTTTCCGATGGAAGCTTAACCTGCTATACCACAGTGGCAGTCCCCAAGCTCTTTTGATTCAGGATTGCCTTCTGCATGAAAATACTGCTGTCACTTCTGCAGTTCTCATGAGTTGGCTCTGGTTCTGCCCTCATGATGACATGTAACAGTTATCACCACTCTTCCTCGTTATTCACTACTTACTCTGTGTAACGTTTTCTCCTTAAACTTAGCAGTTCAAAACAGCTTTATTGGGGCTGGTGTTGTGGCACGGTGGATTAAGGCACCACCTGCAGTACCAACATCGTATATGAGTGCTGGTTCAAGTCCTGGTTGTTCCTCTTGCCCTCTAGCTCCATGCTAATGTGCCTGGGAAAGCAGCATATGATGGTCTGAGTGCTTGGACCCTTGGACCCTCATGGGAGACCTGTTTGAAGCTCCTGGCTTTGGCCTGATGCAGGCCATTTGGAGAGTGAACCAGCAGATGGAAAATCAATCTCTCTTTTTCAATCTGTAATTCTGCCTTTCAAATAAATTAATTAATTAAATCATTTTTAAAAAATGTTATCCCCCCCCAAAAATTTGTTGCCTTCATTCCTTTTAAACTAGAATTAAAATTTAAAGAATTAGTTTAGCTTTCATTTGGAGTTAAGCTCTGGGCAAAGAAAAGCAGCTCCTGAAGATTGGGAATTTCTCTGGCTCTTCTCTCTCTAGAGAGACAGAAAGGTCTTCCTTTTCCGTTGGTTCACCCCCAAAATGGCCGCTCTGCCCGGCGAGCTGTGCCAATCCGAAGGCAGGAGCCAGGTGCCTCCTCCTGGTCTCCCATGCAGGTGCAGGGCCCAAGGACCTGGGCCATCCTCCACTGCCTTCCCAGGCCGCAGCAGAGCTGGCCTGGAAGAGGAGCAACCAGGACAGAATCTGGTGCCCCGACCAGGACTAGAACCCGGGGTGCCGGCGCCACAAGTGGAGGATTAGCCTAGTGAGCCGCGGTGCTGGCCTCTTCTCTTCCTCCTCCCCTCCCCTCCCCTCCCCTCCCCTCCCCCTCCCCCTCCCCCTCTTCCTCCTTCTCTCCCCTCCCCTCCCCTCCCCTCCTTTTTCCAAGAAACTTTAAAATAACACACCAGCACCTGGAAGGAAATGTCCCATCTTTTGGATTCTGATTTAATCTGTTCCTTCTCTCTCTCTCTATTTCTCTCTGTCTCTCTCCTCTCTTCTCTCTCCTCTCTCATGGTGGCACATGTTCCCTGTCACCCTCATCACCTTGCATTCTTTCTAAACCTGGATGCTGCTGTGTCAGCATATCATTGGGTATGTCTCTTGCACTTGCTGCTTAAAATTTCTTCTGATATTTTTAATCAATGACATTGGTTTGACCTGAAGAATCCTAGAATCTTTAGAGGTTAAATTATGTGACTCATGAAATTATCTGATCTCAGGGAAGCCAAGGCCTTATGATGCTTTATTTGAGCTCATAAAATCTAAGGGGGAGATGATGGTCCTCAGAATAACCAGTGAGGAACTTTGGAAATGTTACTTACTGCGAAAATTTAAGCTTATGGATGCTTATGGGGGAAAATGGGATTAAAAGCATCCTGGGGCAGTGCTGTGGTGTAGCGGATAGAGCTGCCGCCTGCAGTGCCAGCATCCCATATGGGTGCCTGTTTGAGTCCTGGCTGCTCCACTTCCAGTCCAGCTCTCTGCTGTGGCCTGGGAAAGCAGCAGAAGATGGCCCAAGTGCTTGGGCCCCTGCACCTTTGTGGGAGACCCAGAAAAACTCCTGACTTCGGATCAGTGCAGCTTCAGCCATTGAGGCCATCTGGGGAGTGAACCAATGGATGGAACACCTCTCTCTCTCTCTCTCTCTCTCTCTCTCTCTCTCTCTCTCTCTCTCTCTCTGCCGTTCTGTAATTCTGCCTTTCAAATAAAATAAATAAATCTTAAAAAAGAAAAGTTAGCATTCTTTGGTTTGTGGGTGAAAATCAAAGGTAGAGTACGGCGGTTTGTATTGTCTGTTCACGGAGCTGTTAGGGATGTGTGCTTATTCCCTTGCAGGAGATGGGAAGGTTACAAGCATGGGGTGCGTCTGCAGGGAGCTGATTCCAGGTGGCAAGTGTCTCAGCTTCGGCTCCGGGGCTTGCTGTGCAGTCTGATATTGCTCGGCTCTAGCTCCAGTACTGACATCGCTAGTTTTTGGGCTTCATTTTTGTTTCTTAATTGTGTCAGAATCTCCAACTGGAATGGGCTCAGTCACCACAAAAGGAAAAAGAAAGTGGTTCATCATGTACATGTTCCTGCCAGATAGAAGGTTTCGAAGTTCAGCATTTTCATCACATATTTGGTAACGTTTTGCATTTTGGAATAAGGAAACAGGAGCATGTATGAAGCTTCTTCTTATCCAGATTATTTGGTTCTAAGCAGAATACACTTTCAAACAATCATGTTTTGCTAAATTTATTTGTAACAAGTGAAGGTATTTTGGAAAATTCGAAAATTTAAAGATTAAATCAGGAATATTAACTACTGGCTACTTTTTGCAGTTATATTGCCTTAAAAAGGTTGAAATTATTAATGGTTTGCAATATGAAGTAAAAAAACTGATCTCCAGAAAAGCCCAGTTCTTTTAGTTCTTTCCATCATTCTCCTTTGGCTTTAAAAGTTTCTGCTGTTACAGAAGGAAACCGACCACACAAGAGCTAAGCGTTAAGTGATCCCGAACCCACAAGAAGACGAAAACCCACAGAGTTCAGTTTCACACACACTCCTGGATGCTTGTTCTGCAAACAGCAGTTTGAGATTTTCCTAAACATAATGTTTCACAATTTTTATACAGATTGCTTTTTTTCCTGTTTGATGAAACCTACTCATTTTTGTTTTCCTGTTCTGTACAGGTGAAAGCCAAATAATTCTCATATGGTGCTTATGTTGTCTGATTAATAAAGAACCACAGAACTCTGGAGAATCGAAGCTTAACTCCTTGGCACGGGTAAGAGTAAATATCTGAACTGCTTTTCATTAATGGACTATGTAAAAGGTGCCTGCTTTTAAGTTTATTTTTCTGGTTCAGTTCTGTGATGCCGTAGAAGCTCCTTTGAACGTACCCTTCACTGTTACATTATCTTGTTGGGTGTAAAGTCATTCAGGAGACTTCACTTTTGCTTGATTGTGAATGCTAAGAGATAACCATCTTTAAGGTGAACTTCCTTCCCGTGCCTACAAAAACCTCCTTTTGAGTGGTTTTGAAAACTACTTTCAGGTAATTAAAAGAATGTTCTCCATTTCCTTCTAGCAATTGGTGTCCTTCAAAGAATCTTTTTTCCCTACCAATGAAGTTTAAATACTTGCATAACTCCTGCCTCTCTCCAAATCTGTTCTGTATTGAAACTAAAGTTGAGAAATGCCCAGGGAACAGCACTCTTTCCTAAAGTTGATACCTGGGCCTGAATGCTCACATACTGGGATCTGGGGCTGCCTGGTGCCTGCTGCTCACACCGCATAATGGATCACCTCTGGTGCTAGTCCAGATGGCTGACAGCTTCCTGTATGTCCACCCCCCCCCCCCCACCGCCATTTCTGCTTCTTCTGGAAGAGCAGGAACAAGATGGAGAATGTGGTAAGGCTGGGCTGGGGCTACCCCCATCACCAGCAAGTTGGCTGTTCTGTTCTGTTCCTCCCTACTATGCTGCTGCAGTGACCAGGGACTTGTCAGCCTCCAGCAAGTATGCATGTGGTTCAGATTAGCTGCTTAGTATTACGAAATCACCCAACCAGATTAACACATATGGTTTTGTCTATCTGCCTGAATATTGGTATCATTGCATTCACTGATTTTTATGATTCATTCATTTTAGACGGAATTGCTAACAGAGATAACAAAGACAGTGTTTGTATTTTTCTGTTAGATTGAAAGGGAACAGAAGGGACAGTAGAAATGTCTTTGTAGAAGAGGATTGGGTTAGGGAAGGGAATAACACAAAATTTAATTGGAAGGAAAATGAATGTAAGATCTGAAGAAAGGAACTGATAAGTAAAATTAGGGGAAGAAGCATATGTGTATATAAGATAAAAGACTAAATGTATAATAACATTCAAACTTTTAGTTGTTGCTTTTGTTGAATATTTGATATTTTAATGATTATTTAGCTTGTAATTTTGTATTGACTTGCTCATCGAGCCCTAAAATAGGGCATCCAATAAAGTGTTTTTAAGGTAATTGAATTAACTTCATTTTGCTTGTTACTTTATTAGCCTATTTTTAAATTTCTAGCCTCACATTCTATTCTGTGGTTTTCCCTTGTTTAATACTGTGTCTGTTTATTAATAGGCGCTTAAATATAGTGCAGAGAGGTCAAGTTAAAACATTTAATTCCTGCCTTCAGGGAATTCATAGTCTGCTAACAAGATCCCTCCAGGCCTGTGTGGTTGGGTTATTGGTGGATCTGTGTTTAAGAGTATTGGTGACAAAGAAGGGGACACTGGCTCAATTGTGGAGTTTTGTAGACATTTCCTGGGGGAGGCAATAGATTGGCTGAGTTCTGAAGAATGAGTAGGAGAGCAAGATAGAGTTGTGAATAATGTCTCTGTCAGCAGAAAGAGAACATGCAAAGCAAGATGATGATAGAAGGCACATATTGTATTTTGGTAACTGCAGCTGCTTAGCTCTGTCTGGAGCTTGGAGTGCTGTAGGGTTGGTGATGATGAAGCAGGAGAGACAGGCAAACAGGAAGCCTACGTATGATTCTTTTTTTTTTTTTTTTTTTTTGACAGATAGAGTTATAGACAGTGAGAGAGAGAGAGAAAAGTCTTCCTTCCGTTGGTTCACTCCCCGAATGGCTGTAACGGCCGAAGCTGCGCCGATCCGAAGCCAGGAGCCAGGTGCTTCTTCCTGGTCTCCCATGTGGGTGCAGGGTCCCAAGCACTTGGGCCATGCTCCACTGCCTTCCCAGGCCACAGCAGAGAGCTGGACTGGAAGAGGAGCAACCGGGACTAGAACCGGCATCCATATGGGATACTAGTGCCGCAGGCGGAGGATTAACCTAGTGTGCCATGGCATCGGCCCCCTACGTATGATTCTAAGAAGGGTTTATTTTGTCTTGAAGGTGGTGGGGAAGCAATCAGATGTGAATTGTAGAAACTAACAGAGATAGCTTTTTGGAAGCTATTGGAGTGACAAAGGTGAGAAGTCCTAAGGGCCTGAATGACATGGAGAAGCGGGGAGATTTACAAGACATTAATGAGTAGAAACCTGAAGATTAAAGGCAGATTGAGTGCAGACGTAGCAGTTAGGTGTGAGTGGAGATGTTCAGAGAGTTGTCCTCAGAGAGTGAGCTAGTTTACTGACAGAGGATTGGAAGTCTGTGCACCCTGAAAGCCTGGGTGAGGTGACCCCACACAGGGAGTTGGGGGCTAGGCACTAGAGCGCGCCTTCCGAGACAGAGTAAAAGGAGCCCAGGAAGTAGAAGGAGAAGAGTAGTAGCATACCGAGAAAGATGAGCAGTCATTCGTATCTAATGCTGTACAGGAGCACTGTCCAACAGAAATAAAATATCTACTATGTAGGTGATGTTAATTTTCCTAGTAGCTGCTGTAGGAACATAAAAAGAAATATGTAAAATTAATTTTATGAAGAAATTTTATTTAACCCAATAGATCCAAAATACCATCATATTAACACGTGATCATTATAAAAGCTATTAATGAGGTTATTTTATAATCTTTTTTTCAGAATGCATGTTTGAAGTCCATTGTGGTATTGTACATACATCACATGTTCCATCTTAATTCAGACATTACATTTTCATTGGAAATTCATTATTCATATTTTAGTTAGATTTATGTTCGAAAAAGTAGATCCACACAGCCAAGTTTTTTCAGTGAAGCTTCTAACTGAATCAAGCATCATTTTTAAAAACTTAATTAAAATTAAATAAAAAATTCAGTCTTACTGTGTTCAAGTGCTCAGTAGCCACACTTGGCTAGTGGTCACCTTGTTGGACAGGACAGCTGTACAGCATAAAGCAGAAGATTAAGAAGCACTGCTGGGATTTAGTGACCAGGTGTGAGGCATTTTTTTTTTCTGAGAGGTGGAGAGAAATAGCTACAGACTGAGGAATGGGGGAGAGGTGAGGAGGTGGAGGTTATCAGTTTCTTTTGCTCTTCCAGGACATTGAGCGGAGAAGGTGAGAGCCAGACTTGATAACAGAGTTGGCCTAGTGAGACTGAAAATCCTGAATGCATTTTCCTTTGAGAAGAACATGCTAATAGGAAACAGTGGCGGGTACAAGAGAGACAAGACAGCCCCAGAACTGTGCAGTAATATAAATGAGTTAAAGAGGTGTGTAGGAATTATATTAATTATTTGACTCTTAACAGTCTAATTACATATCCCAGTCACAAATCAGTACCTACATAATGCTGTGTTAGCCATAAGGGTAGCAAGACAGAAGTTGGTTTTGGTTTATAAATCAATTGTACATGTCTGGGTATACTTTATATTAGAAGTGATATTTTCAGGGCTGGCACTGTGACATAGTAGGTTAAGCCTCCACCTGCAGGTGCTGGCATCCTATATGGGCACCGGTTCAAGTCCTCGCTACTCCATTTCTGATCCAGCTCCTTGTTAATGGAAAGCAGAGGAAGATGGCCCAAATGCTTGAGCCCCTGTAGCCACGTAGGAGACCAGGAAAAAGCTCCTGGCTTCAGATTGGCCTGGCTCCACCATTATGGCCATTTGGGGAGTGAACCAGTGATGGAAGTCCTCTCTCTCTATTTCTCCCTCTCTCTGTCTATAACTCTGCCTCTCAAATAAATAAATAAATCTTTTTTAAAAAGAGAAGTGATATTTTCTCTGTAAAAGTTTTAGAGTGACATAAAGGTGTATTCCCATCGTACAGTATCTTTGTGAAAATTGTACAACAGTAAAATTTTAATAATAGTTGTTAATTCCTTGGGCAAACATTTATTTAATGCCTACTATGTGCTAGGATGTTCTGGCTGTAGTAATACAATCCTAGAGCACTCTATGTTCTTAGATCATTAAAAATACGATTGAAACAGCCTGAATCAAAAACCAAGTGGTTTTCCATAAATTATAATATTCAGTAAAAACAGATTACTAAATTAAATTTGAAAATGTTAGGATGAGTTGTTTTTAGTACAATGGAGAAATTAGTGTTCTGTTTGATGCTTGGCTTATGTTAGCATATGTTGGAAGCACACTCAAAACATTTTTTTGGAGTTTTACCAAGAACCACACTTGTGCCATCAAATAGCACCACCTCAATGGCTATTCTTATGATTTAGAAACTGGTTAGGCTCACAGGAGTCTTTCACACCTTCTAAGAATGTTTGCTTCTTGAGTAGCTGAGTCTCACTGTGGGATCAGCTGCACAGACACTGTCCGAGCACCTGCTGCTTGCCAGGCACTGCTGCCTGTATTCCCCAACGGCCCCCTGAGGCAGTAACCACTAGCCTGACTTTTATTTACACTGCTTTATAGTTTTGCCACTTAATTATGTAGTTTGGCCTCTTTTTTTAGTAAAAAAAAAAAAACTTGATAGAGTGGAATAAAACATATGTGTTCTTTCGTGTTTCAGTCATTTTGTTCCATATTATGGTGTAAGATTCAGTGATGGTGCAGGATGTAGTTATAGTTTACTTATTTTCATTAATAGAACACAGTTATCCATTAATCCTGGGATGGAGGTTGGTTTCCAGTGTCTGGGATTTAGGAACACTGTTGCTATGTATACTCTGTCACATGTATCCAGGGTCAAATACATGTGTTTAGTAAAGAAGTGAAATTACAGGTCATGGAATGTGGCATATCTTTAATTTGATTGGCTTGTATTAAATTGTTTTTCACAGCAGTGGTACCAATTTAAATTCTCAAAATTAGTATGGGAGAGTTCCAAAGCCTCTGTGTTACTTGATATTATCAGACTTTCAGAGTTGAGATTTTTCTGATGAATGAGTATGGTGGTATTT